GAGCACTTTCTTCCTGTGAAGAGCGTGTTTCCCAGGCAGCTGTCCTAACTTGGCCTCGAATAAAATTCTCTTTCCTACTTTTAGAGATTCTAAAAGGTTTGCTCATTTTGTGTCGACATCTTCAAGATATGAGGAGTTCACAGTTCCTTCAGGGATGGACAATCAGGCTCAAGGACACTTACTGCAAATAACTAACAAATGTTCCAAATAAAGGAGACAATGGTTTCTGTAGTTTCTCCTCCTCTGAACAGTAGCAGATTATTTCATTAATTTCAGAGGAATGACTTGCAAATGAAGAACGTAACATTTTCATAATAAATTCAATGTGTGGTAAAAAAAAAAAAAAAAACACTACTCATGGACCATGGAAAGGAGTAGGAATTGAAATGGGAGTTATTGTTTTTGTCAAATACTTCCAAAACAATAGAACTAAGAAAATTCATAAAGAGTTCTAAAATACACATCCCACTCAGCAATAGAAAAAAAAAACCCTGGGATATTAAGCAAGACATTTAAAATATGGAAGATGAGAAAACAGGTGAGAATTCCTAAAAAGCCTACGTTCTGCACATTTTACAACAATGTTAAGAAATCATTGTGATAAATGAGAGAGACACAGAAATAATTCTTATCTCCTGCAGGAAATAACCTTACAAGAATGGTGACGGTAGTTAAATATAAAAAGGTAAAGGTAGTTGAGAGAAGAGCTAACGCTATGAGAAGATAAAGGTAGTTGAGAGAAGAGCTAACGCTATGAATGAACAAAAAAGTTAACTTTAAGTAAGGACTGGATGCACCAAAACTTTGCAAAAACCAGAACAGGGTGTTTTCTGTGCAGAGGGGACCGCAATCGACCCTGGGAGGAAAGAGAATTGCAATGACTTGTCAAAGAAGAGAGATAATCCTGGAACACTTCTAAGGTAAGTAATTTTTTTTAAGTATCTAGCAAATTATCAATTAACCTGGTGCCTCCTGTTTTAAAACTATTCACACATAATAACAGAAGAGCTGATCCTTGAATGTTTCAGAGAAAGATGTCCTCAGAGTTTTCAGATCCATAAATAATGGGGTTGATTAAAAATAGGTCATCCAAATCAATCTAATTGCCTTCTATTTTTAATATAAATTCTTTTCATTGATTTTTAAAATGGATAGTCCATTAAAACACATTTATCATGACCCTGAAAGTGTGCTAGTATTGCAAAAAGCCTAAGGTGAAGAATAAAAAGCAATTTCCCACCACATGAAGCTGAGGCGGGAATATCACCAAAGAGAGCTGGAGCCCTACTTTTCCTGGGGAAAAAAACCATTTCCGGGTAAAAGCTGGGAGGTGAGGTATCATTATGATAAAACGTTGTCCAGCTGTATGATATCAGTTTTAGAATGTGTGGAGCCATGCATGTCTTGTTTGGATAAGTGGTCTCTAACTTTGTAGAGCCAAGGCAAAAACATATGACTAGATCTGCTGTGTTTTCTATTACATGCACGCTCATAATTGCAGAATACCTGTTTGTTCTAGAAAATGTAGCTAAGGAAAACTAATATTAAAAATAATCCATAATGCCATCATCCAGAAATAACACTAGAAACATTTTGATACATACATAGTCAAAGTTTTAAAATATACAATGTATATTTTAAATGCAGATATATAATACCGGCCTATAACCTTTTATACTAAAAAAATAATACACATTTCAGATGCCAATATACAGTTTCTCAAAATTGTTATGAATGGAACACACTGCATATCTGTGACCATTTATTCAGCCACCCATCTAGGGTTGGACTTTATAAACAGTGCTTCACTAAAGATCCTACAGCTAAATCTTTGCCAACAGCCTTAATTACTTAAAATAGCTTTCAAAAAGTAGACCCATTAAATCAAAGACTAAGCACCATTTGTGAACTTGGACTGACACCTCTTGGAAAGCCAACTTGTCGGCCACTACAGTCCCTTTCCATCGGCTCCAGAGCCACCTAAGAGAGTGAACCCTTTTCTTGGCAGCCTAACGGATGGAGCTTTGATGCTTGTGGTTGATAATTCATCTCGGACCGACGTTTTCACTGTTACATAGCAGTTGCTTTATCAACTTTGGGACCAGCCCAAAGCTGTGCTTCAACCACAGATGGTGGTGACATTTCCACACCTTTCCAACACAAAATTATATGCATGAAAACTCTGAAGAACAAATACCCATCTATTATATAAAAATTTTATAAAAACTTAGACACATATTATGAGAGCAGTCATAAAATAATTCCGGGGAGAATTATTTCCTATGCCCATAATTTTAAACAGCACTTAGAGGCTTGAAAATTCTGGCCAGGCCAGCAGAGGGCGCTATGCAGGTGCAACCGGAGGTGGAGATCCTGCGGCAGGGCTGAGCACGCCTTCATCTCTGTTGCTATGGAAACCCTGTGAGACCCTGGGTGCTGCACCCAGCCAGTTCTGCTACCAGGGAAGGAGCTGACTTGTGATCCTCCCCTGTTACATGGGAGCGGTGCAGGGGGGAGTTTGCGTAGCCACTCTGGGGTCCTGAGGTCACACGTTTAGGCTGGTTACATAGGGGCAGGTTGTTTGGAGGGAATGGTATCAAATAAGAAGCATCTTGCAGGGCTCCTTCCTTAGCTGGGCCACCATTTTGGACCATGGGATGGGTAAAACTCCATCAGAGAAGACTGGGAGACCAGCTGGCCAGAAGGAAAAGAGCCAATGCCCTGGCTTTGGTTGGTTCACAGGGGACTGGCCAAAGTGGGTGTGTTTTGGGAATTTCAATTAAAGACATGAACTTGAGATTAAGAAATTGTTCCCCTGAAGCTGCCCATGAATCCCTGGGATGGAGGCAGATCCTTGGACAGTCAGTGCAGTGAGGGAGGTTAGCCCTGAAATCTGGGAGTGGTTTCCTAGGAGTGGGCACCAAGCCCCAGGAGAGGCCAATTTTGAAGTCTCAAATCTCTAAATGTGATGAGTTAAAATGTTTGAAACTAACTTGTGTGGAAACAGGGAAGAGCATGTTAAATTTCTGAACACTCCCAAGGGAGGGGGAGTAAGAAAATGTAGCCTATCTGCAAAAATTCAAAAAGCGAGAAATTGAATGTGTAGATTCAGTGGCTACTTGTGGCAAGGTCCTTGTTACAGGTTGGGTCCTGCAGAGATCAGACTGGAAGACTGAGTAATTGTGCAGGGTGTTTGTTAGGAAGTGCCCTTCAGGTTGACAACTGTCAAAGGGAGGGAAGGTATCAAGATGGGACAGGTTGCCTCCATGGATTCCATGGAGAGCTCAGGAGCTGGAATGAACCATCAGGACTCTCCTCCATTGGAGTGAAATGGCCCAGCCCTCATATTCCCATCTAGATCTGTCAGTGAATTTGGGCCACCCTCGGCTGCACACCATGGGTGAGGAGCTTCTCTGCAACTGAGGGGTAATCCCTGAAAAGGCTGACAGCTGAAAGCACCTGCAGATAGCCCTCCCAGCAGCTGAGGCATCTCCAAGGCAGATCCAGGTGGCATATCTCTGTGCCCATCACAATACATTTCCTGGACACTTACACTCCATGCTCTCCAAAGTTCTCAGCCCCTACTTCTCCCTTAATATCTGCCTGATGGCCTGAGAGGATTGGGGTACAAGCTGAGAGGAGGTGAAGAGCCCCATCTAAGGGACCGAATGGTGCTCAAAGTTATGGAATTTTACAGTGTTCTCCATGTAGTTGATTTCTAGTTTCAGTGGTCAGAATAGGTGCTTGTTGATTTCAATATTCTTGAATTTATGAAGACTTGTTTTGTGGCCTAACACACCATCTGTCCTGGAGAATGTTCCATGTGCACTTGAGAAGAATGTGTGTTGTTGCTTTTGGATGGAAGGTTCCACATATATCCAAATCCATCTGATCTAACACATCATTTAAGGCCAATGTTTCCTTATTGATTTGTGTCTGGATGATATATCCATTGACGTAAGTGGAATATTAAAGTCCCCTACTATGTTATCATACTGGGGTCTATTTCTCCCTTCAAGTCTGTTAATATTTGCTTTGCGTGTTCAGGGGCTATGGTGCGTGCATACGTATTTACAAATGTAATGTCTCTTACTGGATTGACTCCCTTATCATCATGTAACACCCTTGTCTCTTATTACAGTCTGTTTTAAAGTTGATTTTGTCCAGTATTAAGTCTAGCTACCCCCCTTCTTTTCAGTCACACACTGGTAATCACGCCGGCACAAGCACATAAATATGACCAACCTACGAAGCTGAATAAAACATCTAAAATGTCAATCATAAAATAAATTCTATCAGCTATACAAAAGACTGAATTATCTTTCCATTCTCTCTGGAGAAAATACTACAAAATTAGTATCAAGGCTGAGGAGGTGAAGAGCCCCATCTAAGGGACCGAATGGTGCTCAAAGAGGCTGAGTAAGCACTCGAAAATATGCAGGGGAAAAAAGGTGCGCCAGGACGTTAATAAAAATATGATATTTTCTTGGATCCTGTGACATTTATGGTATTCCTAAATACACGTTCGCTTTCCTCCTTCTGTAATGGTAATTTGGTGGTGTCTTTCTTGGACGCCCCCCCCCCACCCCGCCCGGGGTCCTAACTGCGCACGGCCCTGAGAGGGGCGGCCCCCACACTGCGGCGAGACCCACCCCGCAAGTCACCCAGACAGCTCAAGTGCACAACGGAAGAATCGTACGTATTTCACGGGATCCTCGAGTAGCACCGCCGATCAACAGGCACTTCACCGGCCGACCTCCCACTGGGCCGCCTCGGAACGCAGGCGCGGTGGCAGACCCCACCCCTCTCCTTTTCGCCCCTGCGCGTTGGCGGGGCCGAGCCGGAAACTCGGGCGCGGATTGGCCGGGAGTAAGATGCGTAGATACGTTTGAAAGGCCCAATCAGCGCCCGGCCTCTCCGCGCCAGCCAGTAGGCAGTCGGAGGGGCCGACAGAAAGGGCGGGAGTCGCTATTTGAACCGGGGCGCGGGCTGCCGTTCTGCTTCGGGCGTGGGTCTCGGTGAAACCATGGAGGACCAGCTCCTGGGGGAGGACGCGCTGCTCTGGCAGCTCCGGGACAGCCGCCGCCGCTTCCAGAGGCACATGCAGCGACTGATAGAAAAGGTACGCCCCCTCCCCAGAGGCCCACTGGAGTGGGGGAGTCGGGGCGCGAGGCCGATGGAGGAAAACGGGGTTGGGGGCTGGGGTAAGGATGGAGGCGGCCGAGCGCGGGGCCAACAGGGCGGGAAGGGTAGGGGAGACGGGGGTGGAGAGGAGGAAGCGGGGTTGGGGAGATGGGATTGGAGGATTGGGGTGGAGGGGGGAGGTGGTTGGGGGGCGAGAGGGAGGGAGCTGGGTTTGGGGGGTCCTCCAGACTTCCAGCCTCGCGCTGGCGCCTCCTTCGCCCGGGTCAGGACCTCCTCGTGGCCCTCGGACCTGAGGGGACGCCCCTGTCTCTTCCGCAGTACAACCAGCCCTTCGAGGATGCCCCGCTGGTGCAGATGTCCACGCTGACCTATGAGACACCCCAGGGTACGGAGTCATTCCCACCTTCTGAATATTTACAGTTAAGAGTGTGAACAGAATAGCGTCTTCCCCGAGTTTGAAATGCTGTCCTTGCTCTCTTATGAAAATAAACTTTGTTCACCTAGTAGGAACTAAAACATTACTAATTCCCTTGAACCTGTAAGATACTTAAATTACTAATTTCCGGCAGAATTACTTGTTAAAACAGAATTCTGCGGACGCATAGTTGCATGCTGGTTAAAAATGCCCCTGCCTGGCCACTCAGCCTGTCCGCTTAGGCTGGTGCTTTAACAGTGGAGGCTGTGCCTCTTTTTCTTCATCTGTCCAGTGGGTTATTTGATGGGGATGTTGTAAGTCACATAAGCATGCTTGTGGAGCTCTTGGAACAGGGCCTGGCCCTAGTAAACACCCCTATGGACTCTTATTTGACTTATTTGACTTGGAGTATTAACTGTCCTCTTCGAGGTTCTGAGCACTTGGAACTTGACCTGAATGTAGGGAGAAGGAGCCATTCTGTTTAGTGGCTGATGCTGTAAGCTGACTTAAATCTCATGGATTCTCTTTGGTAACTAGGTTAAGAGGTCAGTTCCACCCACTCAGTCTTATTACCAGCTCATTCTGACCTACTAATGAAGGCAAATCTCAGATCCAGTTCTGCTGTGCACTGGACAGACAGGCACTAAAAGTTTCATAGGATCAGCTTCTGAAGTTAAAGTGTTAACTGTCTGCCTTTTTAGGTGAGCCAGCCGCACCTTGTGTAGAAAGTTCATGAAGACAGAAGCTAAGATATTCCAGCTCCAGGTTTCACTTACTCTCTGGTCTCTGTCGGGCGATGACAATCGCTTCTTGGCCCTTTGGCTGAGATCAAGTGTAGTGTCAGGCGATGAAAATCTAACCGGAGGGCAGGACACAGGGCCACGTAGGAATCTGGTCTTATGCACTGTCTCCGCAAGGATGGGCAGTGCCGGGAGTATTTTGGCCCCTCCATATACCTAGAGCACCACTAACTCCACCAGTGAAACTCACTCTGACTCCAGTTTGAGGAGAACAGTAATTGAAGCAACGAACAGCTTGAGGGCACTCAGACTTTATAGCACCAAGGCCTCCTGGAGAGCTCGTTGAAACACAGATTCCTGGGGTCTCTGGCAGCAGTGCTGGGTGCAGATTCAGTAGATCTAAGGAGCTCCTGGCTGATGATGACACAGTTCCGCTGACCTGTTGCTTAGCCTGGGGAGGTACTTTCTGATTAGAGCTAGCAGACCACCTTGTGGCAGGAATTCGCGATTTAAGGCAACGCCACAGGGTGTAGAGTGTAGCTAACACTCCCACACTGATGATGCTGAAGACAGTAGGGGAATAATAGTTGTCCACATGGGTTGACAGCTAACCGTGTGCCCTATGCTTCTGAGAGTCTCATGTTTTTGATTCTCAGCAACACTTTGAGGTGGGTACTGTTCTTAGGATCATTGTTTCCTAGCAGAGATGCAGCAGAAAGAGGTTAGGGAACTAGCCCCATGTCACTTAGCCAAACCGGCAAAACCTTGACTTGACTCAGCACATTTGCTCAGCATCACTCTGTTCTGGAAAGGCCGCATGGCACAGTGGGCAAGAGCACAGAGAGTCACTCCCCTGGGTTCACAGCCTGGCCCCACCACTTGGCTAAGCGGCCTGGGCTTGGTGACTTGACCTACATCTTGCCTCTGTGTCTCCATCTGTACAATGAACTTGGTGAGTAGCCTACCCCCTAGGGAGTTAGGAGTACTCCACGAGTTCCATAGAAGTGAGTTGTAAATACTAAATGTGATATACATGAGCAGTGTTTAGAATAGAGCCTGGGACATTGTAAGCACCATGCAAAGGTTTGCTATTATCAGTAGCAACAATCTCAACCCAGCGATCCCTTCTTTTTTTTTTTTAAAGATTTTGTTTATTTATTTGACAGAGAGAGAGAGAGATCATCAGTAGGCAGGCAGAGGGAGAGGGAGAAGCAGGCTCCCCGCCGAGCAGGGAGCCCGATGCAGGGCTCAATCCCAGGACCCTGGGATCGTGACCTGAGCCGAAGGCAGACGCTTAACCGACTGAGCCACCCAGGCGCCCCACCAACGATCCCTTCTTATTCACTTTGAATTTACCTGGGAGCAAAGGGAGGTTTAGGGAGAGATTAAGTATTCTTGTCCAGGTCCTGCTAGCTAGTAAGTGGCAGGACTACCATATCTCAGTGCTCACCTGCATGCTTGGGCCGTGCTCTGTACATATAGATTGCCCTCAGAAAGCACCCTGTACAAGGGATAGAGAGATTGCCTTCAAAGAGTGTTTCCAGTCTATATGCAATACATAGTTTGCTCTCAATATATCTATTTTAAGGACAATACTTGGCCTATGTGTGTTCCTTGTTCCCGTTTAACTCTGGTTTAATGACAGAATTGGACGAGCTGCTGCCTACATTAATGACAGGTTTTTGTCTAATCTTAATTTAAAAAAAAAAAACCTCCAACCTCACAAAAATGAAAAACAACAGAATATCAGAAGTAGGGCTTTCTTTCAGTGTTACATCTGTCTTTTGCCCGTCACTTTGGTTTTCTTTGACATGGATTGAACAGAAATTCAGCGGTCAGGATTGCTTAAGTGGTAATTTTTATTTTATTTCTTTTCTGAAGGATTGAGAATTTGGGGCGGAGGACTAGTAAAGGAGAGAAACAAAGGACACATCCAGGTATTTAATGTCAAATATTACCGTCTACACACGCTGCCGTGCAGGAGTATCGATGTGAATAAAGGTGCGGCTCAGCTGTGACCGCGCCGGGAGCCTCCGGAGGTCACCACGGGGCTCCTGATCTCTGGCTTTCTCGCCCGAACTACCCCATTTTCGTCTAAGGATTTACTGAGAAGCTTTGCTTCTGTTGCTTGTCAGGTACCAGGAGGACCAGTCCCCGTTCCCTCTGCTGTAGGCCGAGGGGCTCTTGACAACAGCCCCACGTTCAGGGCTGGCCGGCGGGAGAAACCTACTCCCGCCCCAGCTTCAGCCGCAGCTGCAAGCTTGCTTTGTTGGGTCCTTGCAGAAAAGACCCAACCCAGTTCCTCTGAGGAAAGAAACAGGCCTCTTTTCTCTTCTGCAAGGGGAAGAGATTAGGGAAAGGGTGCAGGATTGCGCTTCTTTCTCCCATGGAGCTACGTTCCAAAACCCGGCTGTGGTTTTCCCTGAATTTATCCACGCACACTGCAGCAGCTTGCCTTCCTGCTGGGACACCCACGGAGCCTTGCTACAGTAATTTTTGCAAGGACGTCCGGTATCCCCTTAATGACTGTTTCTCAGACAAGAAGCCTGTACCCCGGAATGAAAACGTCAGGGTTAGGATTCCCAAGCCATTAACAGCAATTCTGAAATAAAATTTCTTCCCGATTATTTTCATCACACACATCAGGCATGTAGTTGCAGAAATGTTAGAAGTACATGTAACTATTAAATCAACCTGACTTCCATAGTCACTAATGATATTTTAGTATAATTCCTGCTCATAATACACGTTTTTTATCCTCTTTTTTCCACATAATATACATTGTGAGCATTTCTTTTCATCATCCACTGTATAATTCAATTACTTTTTTTAACAACTGCTCTCATGGATAGGCATTTAGCTGTTTGCACCTTCCTTTATTATAAATTGGGATCAGCACACTTCTGACGAAGGGCCAGGTGAGAAGTATTTAAGGCTTTGCTGGCCGTGTGGTTCCAGCTACTCTGCTCTGTATTATGAGGGGAAGGCTCCCATATGCCATATGCGAACGGGCATGGCTGTGTTCCTGTGAAACTTTATTTATAAGACCCCTGTTAGAAGTACTCCTCAGAGGACCATCCTTGTCTCTTCCCAGCGCCAATGTTATCCCTTATATAATAGCTGTCGGGAAGTGCGATTATCAGGTCAAAGGATTCGCACTCTAAATTATGCGGAGTAGTGATGCCCACCTATCAGACCAGTGTTTAAATGGCCCCGGTAGCCAAGTGTTTTCATCTGGACATGTATTTAAGGTTTTTGCTGGGAGTGTAGGAGCACCGCTGCCTGGGGTCTATAGAATTGGAAGCTCCTCTCCTAGGATTAGAAAACTGGGCATCATCTGTGCTGACCACTCAGATGTCTGCAAGCCACCCCCCCTCCGAAGTTACTGTGTGTGACTGTGCCCAAATCTGCCTTCTTTCCCCAGACAGCCAGATACTCAGCTGGCCCCCCACCGCACCCCAGAGATGGTGCCTGGAGGCTGTGGGAGGCAGTAAGCCACAGTGGGCTGTGCGTGTGTTGACCTGTCGGTCTGGTCCTAACAGAAGGCCTGGGTTCTCTTTGTAGCCCCCAGAGCTTCCGGTCGCTGGGAGGTCAGTGCCCATGGCTCCGCTTCCCCCTAGTTCTCAAATCAAGTTCGGCCTCACCTCCAGACACGGCAGCCACGAAACAGCTCCAGAGGCCCCTCCAGTCTCTCCTGTCTGTTCTAGGTGGTTCAGTCCCTTCTTACCTGAGGCAAAGGAGGCGACATTCCCCAAGGCAAGATTCAGTTACCACGCTGTGTTCACAGCCAGCCACAAACGCCCCCTGATCTGAGGTGACACCTCAGGATCATCCCTGAAGGGACAGGCCTCACCACGTTCTCACTCCTGTTCCTGCAGGGCGGGGGACTTCCTAAGATACTTTAGCCAGTCTGGTGTCTTGAATTCTCAGGTTTTGCTAATGAGAACCCATTGAGGGCATTTGTCAGGATTGTTAGCGAGGCCGGTGGTAGAGACCAGGCTGCGGAGAGAAGCACGTGGCCTGCCGGCCGCCCTCTGCAGCATGAGTCCTGGTCAGGACGGCTGACTGCCCCTGAGAGCTGGCTTCACACACACAGGGTCACAGACGAGGTCACAGGAAGTCCCTCAGGGCCTCTCAGATTTCTGGGTTCTGTGTTGCCGCCACACCTGGGCTGCAGTCTGGCCCCTGCATTCCCGCCTTTTCTCCTCGCTTCCCCTGCTCTGTCCCTCACCATCCCAGTGGCTCTGGGAGTAGTAGCCCAGGGCACACCCGGAGGAAGAGAGCCGTTCCTTCTCTGAGGGGGGCCCCTCCAGTCGACGGGGAGTCTCGAGGTCCTTTATGCGGGAAAGTACTAGAACAGAAGCGCGCGAAACCCTGTTCTCTCACATGCTAAAGGAAGGACTATAGGGTTGTTACTTCACAGCGGCTTTGAAGTGTGTTATTACTGAATCGAGCCTGCCTTGATCCACTTCTGTGCTTTTGAGGACTCCCCAGTCGAGACGGTCAGCAGGAGTGGTGGCAGCCCCGCGGAGGCGAGCGCCAGAGGTCCGGCGCCTCCCGTGCCCGGCACACGGGTCCTGGCAGTGGGTGAGTGTCCCTGTGCTGGGCGGCAGGGTCGGGAGGGGCACGGGTCCCTGGTACAGCATCTAAAGTCCAGATCCCTCACTAGGACTTCTTCCAAGGCAGTTTTAAAAACCAGAGTGTCTTAAAGTGCCTGCTACTTCCTTCTGTCTTGCTCAGTTACATCCATGGTACATGACGCCTAAACAGCACTCAAACCTTCTTGAAGAATGGACGTGCACCCTCCCGTTCGTTTCTTAACTTATCGCGGCCCCCCCCCCCTTAAAAAAATTAATCGCAGGAATTTCATGAGACTTCAGATTTGTCCCACAGGGCAGTGTTTGAACTGCTGACTTCTGTGTGACGTCTTCCTGCCTCTGCATCACCTTGTCCTCCTTCCTTGTCCTCAGAGGGGCCTCCTTTCCTTTCCCAGGCCAGTCCTGCTGCCCAAACCCTGACCCAGCCGGCTTTCTGGGGAATCTGTCGATCACCGCCGTCTTTCTCTCTTTGGTGTCTCCCTCTGCCCTGGGCACAGCCCATCGGTGTTGAACAGGCTCAGATTTCACCTCAAGCACACAGAGCATAGTTGACCAGTCTCCCCGCCCCGTGCCCCTCTCTAGTCACCTGCCTTGGTTCAACTTCCCTTCACAACCCAACTTGTAGGGGCTGCTCATGCTTACCACCTGCCATGCACTCCACCAGCTCCATTCTGGCTCCCGACTCCATCTGGAGGCGTAACTCTCAGTGGTCCCAACCACCCCATTGCTGACCCATCAGTATTCTGTGGCTTCTATCCCAGTGCCCTCTTGGTAGCATTTGAAGCTTCTGGAAATCCTGGCATTAGCCGGTGGTGCTGTGGATTTTCTTCTTTCTCTCCCGTCCTGCCAGCCCACCTTCCCTCTCCACCAGATGCCCTTTCTTGAGATTGGTCTGAGCCCCTCATTCTGGACCCCCAGCCCAGACCCTGTCCGCTTCTCTTCTTGAATACTTTGTCTAAACTTGGCACATCTAAACTGAAAAGGTCAACCCAGCAGCATTGCCCTCGGCACATCTGTAGGATGAGCCAGAAACCCAGCCCCTCCCTCCCTCCTACCCAAGACGTCACCCTCCTGTGCCTCTGTCTCCCCCCGTCCCTCGCGCGGCTCTGCCCCCGTGTCCCACTGCACCCCCCACAGTACCAGCCCTGCCCCCTGGCATCTGTGACCGCGCCCATCTGGTCACGCCACTTCTCTGCTCAAAGCACTGCGGTGACTTCCTATTGCTCTTAGGATAAAGAGCAGAATCCTGACCTGCCTGCCATGTTTCACTGCCCCCAGGAAGCCCCCTGGCCCCCAGATCAGAACAGACCCCCTCCTTCACCCAGGCTCCATACACCAGCTCCTTTCCAGGTAGCAGTTAACCAGACGGTATGTCTGTAATGTCAGACTTTGTAACTGGTCCGAAACCCCCATCTCCTGCCGGCACTGGTCCTCCCCAGGCTTTGTGCGCTCTGCCCAGCCCTCCGGGCCAGCTGTAAAATGGGTTCAGTCCTTCGGGGGAACACTGGGTGGTCTTGCCCAGTAGGACTAGAAAGACCTAAATGAAGGTGTTTACTCTTTGATCCCAATTTCAACTCCATAAATCCTTAGGTCCATGAGTTTCTGGACCATTTGAAACAATTAGAAATCGTTTATCCCAGAGCTGCACTGTCCAGCATGGTGGCATTCGTTGCCTATGGCTATTCAAATGAATTGAAAATTAAATAAAATTTAATCATTAAGTTCCCTGTCCTCATGAGCCACATTCCAAGTGTTCACCAGCCACGCGTGGCCAGTGGCTGACATACCAGACAGCAGGTGGGGAACTTTACGTCATCACAGAATAGGACAGCACGGGCCAGAAGGACTCAGCCCCTAGAATCAGAGGCCACTGAAGGAGCTCGAGGTGATAGAATGCTTCTCCAGGGGCACCTGGGTGGCTCAGTCGGTTGGGCGTCTGCCTTCGTCTCAGGTCATGATCTCAGGGTCCTGGGATCGAGCCCCACGTTGGGCTCCGCACTCAGCAAGGAGTCTGCTTCTCCTTCTCCCTCTGCCCCTCCCCCTGCTCCTGCACACTCTCTCTCTCTCTCAAATAAATAAATAAAATCTTAAAAAAAAAAAAAAAAGAAAAAAGAAAGCTGCTTCTCTGGTCATATTCCTGTTCTGATATGGGTGAGTGTCCCTGTGCTGGGCGGCAGGGTCGGGAGGGGCACGGGTCCCTGGTACAGCGTCTAAAGTCCAGATCCCTCACTAGGACTTCTTCCAAGGCTGTTTTAAAAACCAGAGTGGGTTTGTTGCATTACTAGTAATCAGGACAGCGACAGATGGCCATGTCCTTATTAAAGGGAGCACCCTAGAACATACTCTAGTGGTGCAAAAACTATCCTTAAGAGGAAAATGCAAGCTTTCTTTAAAATGCTGATTTAGATTTCCTTTTTTTGCTTTTAGATTCAAAAAGCAATGATGATACATCTTTATATCAGGAAGATGTGATTGCTGGGTCCTTCATGGTAAGACCTGCCTGTTGGAATGAAGGGACCGAGCCGGGGCTCGGGGGTACCAGGGCACATCCTCATTTCCAGTGTCTTTCTTGTCCTCTTTGGAGGCTCACTCTTTGCTAATACTACCCCTCATGTCTCTGGTCCTCCTTCAGATGCCCCAAGGCAGCGAGGGGCTCCTTCTGTCTAGCATGCGGCAACCGTCACTGCCCCCGCTTCAAGCTCGGTTTACTGAACTTTCATACCCGTTGGATGATGTTCTGTCTGCACATAGAACAATCACAATTCACGATGTGCCCAGGCCTTTGACCGAGCACGCGATATTGAAAGTTAGGCTCTAAGCTGGCCTTTGCCCGAAGAGGCAATGTCATAAGGAGGTTGTTTCTGGGAGGTATTTCCAGATCAGCCCTTGGAAGCCCATGTGGTCACGAGGTCATGTGTTCAGGCCGTTGTTCTGTCTGCCCCCCAGAGTGGCCCTAGTGGTCCCAGAACCACCTATCTCCTCCCCATCCATCAGGATCGGATCTCACCTTCCCTCCACTGGGATACACGAGAATACACAAAGAACATAGTCTAGAGGAGCATCTTTCCTGGCCCCAGTGTCAGATGCTGGAATAGCTAGTGTGTGGGTTTTCTCTAAAATTGCTCTTTTCATGCAGAGTTTGCCCATATACCCGATGTGTGACTTTCTAGTGTTTAACTAGAGTGGGTCGTGACCCTGGGGGAGGAGCGGGGGTACTTTGTGAAGTATTACATAGGGGTGGCTGTGAAGGGGAAGTAGGTGGCCCCAGCAATAAGGAACATTCTGGACAATGTATGTTTGTGTTATGCCCCATCTGCATCCCACTCGGGTGCAGAGTGAAGGTCGAGACGCCCTCTCCCCGGCGCGAGGCAGAAGGCGAATGGAGAGGCGGCTGTTCTCCCTCCTGAGCCAAATGCTGAGCATCTTATAAACGTACTGATCGGGGCTGATTCTCATAGTTGAGTCCTGAACTCACCTGAGAATATTCAGATTGTTTTAAATTATTTTCTGTTCTAGTAATGCTGTCCTAAACCTCCACAAGGCTTCTTTTTTTTTGTCCTTTTTTACTTTCTTTTGGATGGTTGCCACTGGGTAAATTATCTCAAGTTCGATTTCTGGGTCAGGTGGCTTTTCAGAGGGTCTGGACCGCTTTGCACTAACAGCAAGGAGCAAAAAGTGACTTTGAGGAACTTCATTTACCAATGTGTAATTAATTAACTTGCCAGTTTGTTCCAGAACCCAAGAGCTCAACCAGACCCAAAAGCTCTTACGAATACTGATTCTCTTCTTTATCAGCCCGCAGTGCCTTGGAGCCCTTTGAAAAACGAGTTAAGGAGGAAATACCTGACCCAAGTGGATGCACTGCTCCAGGATGAAGGGTGTTCAGAGGTAATGTGCTTCCCGGCATGCATCTGCTGATAACTGAAGGTCCATTAATCAGGTTCTTGCTCACCCTCCGTGGGGCCCAGAAGGAGCCTCCTGAGCAAGTGTATAAACCATCTCATTCCCGGGCTTGCAGTCTTCCGTTCTTGAGGAAGCGCTTGGGTCCCCGGGGTCAGCGGCCATCAGGGAAACTCATGGGGTGCACCCTCCGTTGCCCTCTGTTCTGGGACAGCTCCTAGAAATGTAAGGGGCCCCACGTTGGGGGCAGTGACGGGGAAGCGAGAGCTCCCACCTCCCCGCGGCTCTGGGGTGACCGGGCATTGGCAGCAAGGTGTCCCCTGCACCTGATCTGAGGTTGTGTGGCGGGGGGTTCATGCTGGGGTCTGGCCTGCCCTGCCGGGCCCTCGCCCAGGGTGGGTGCCCACTGCGCTCCTCCGCAGCCAGTCTCCCAGAGCTTGGCCCCACAAAGAACAAGGACGCCATCTCTAGCTTTCGAAGTTCTGTCAGGATCTCCTCATAAAGAAAGGACATTTTCGCGTCCAGTAAGTAGGAGGTACGGGTGGTGGGTTGAGTCCTTTATCTCGAAGGCAGCAAACTTCACAGGAACATATACCTTATCTTACTGTGCTGCTGGCCAGTGAGAAGGCCGTGGCTGAGGACCATCGAACGGGTGGATGTACTGGAAACGGCCTTTCCCTTTATCCTAGAGCAGCGGGGGGCGGTCCATGGCAGCAGTGGCCCTCTGGGGGGGTCCCTGGGGACCACATGGAGCAAGCTCCCAGATTTTACTCAGACACCTCTTCCGACCACCGCTGGAGGCTGCGGCCACTGTGATTGTGGTCACACTTGTCACATCTGCTGCCAAGCTCAGATGCACGGCCTGCGGTTGGGGAGGAGCGGCTCCTCACGCCATCCCATGGGGCACAGCGCTGGTGGTGCGGGGCGTCTCAGGACGCCCCCACATGTTAAAATCATGTGCTTTGATTTCAGTGTACCGATGACGGAGATGGAGAGGACACCCGTGTGACACCGACCCCTTCCTGGGCCTCACCTGCCAGGCCTGCCCATGGTGAGCACGACAAAGAAACTTTGCGTGAACCGTGTCCCTTTCGCTCACGTGCATGTTTCATTGACATAAACAGGGACACCAGCACTTCATACGTAAATCAGTCACATTTAACCAGTGAACTGCCTTTTTTCCCTAAGACTCCGGCATGCTAAGTACTGATTAGCTCTTTATCCCAATGTGCCGTTCTGAAACTTTGAATCTCCGGAAACTCAGGACTCCTACGATAAACACACTTTGCTTGCATGTAACAATCCACGTTTTGTGGCATTTGCTTATCCACCCACTGCTCCCACACACCCATACCGTGCACATCAACTTGCTTTCACTTATGTGCTGTCCCTAAGTGCCCCCCGGTCTCCTAAGAACAGGGAAATCCTGGCCCAGGCCAGGGTGTAGCTGTCCCCGCAGGCTAGAAGGCTCCTGGGCTGTCTCCTGTCACGACTTTCCTGAATAGTCCCGGCCACCGGTAGTTTTGCAGAATGTCCCTCAATTTGGACTCCCCTGGACTTTCTCAAGGCTAAGTTCATGTTAACCATTTTTGGCAAAAACACTGCATAGGTGACGATGTGTTCTCCGAGGATGGCCCGTCACCCTGTCCCATTGTTGGTGACGCTCGAGCCTGGGCACTTAGCTAAGGGAGGACCCTCCAGGTTTCTCACTTCCTCAGAGTCATCTGTGGGTGCCCCTCTGAGATTGCCTGGTTCCCCACAGACCCCTCCACCCCGCGGTTTTGGCGTCGGGCCCTAATACCTGCCTGAGTCCATGCAGCAAACCCTCCCTCTCCCAGTCCTGCCTTTCCTCCTGGGTACACCTGTTGGCATTCTTCCATAAACAAGCACAGTCTCACTTCTTTCCTGAATTTTGTTCCTTTATCCCCACATGGTTTTACTTTAAAAAAAACAAAAAACTTTTCTAGAATCAATACAAGTCCCTGAACTTTTTTTTTTTTAATTCACACGTGTTAGAAGCCACTGATGCTCAAGTTGTCCCACATGTAGGCTGCAGGAGCCCTTCTCACTGGCTTCCACGTCCTTTGGCCCGTCCCATGTTTTGAGCACTTCGTGCCCTCACCCTGACTCCACGGTTGCCCCCACCCCCAGTGATCGCCAGCACCACAACCCTCCGTTCGTCTGGTTGGTCATGTGGCGCGAAGCCATTTCAGAGTCACGGCCCCTGCTACCACTTGCTTGGCAACCTGCTAAAGAAGGTTCTGGAGTTCCAAGCAGCTCTTTGATCCTCAGTATCCCACTGAGGCTACGTGTTTTGAGTATGGTGTTCAAAGTCATTTGGATTCTCTTCCCTCTTTCCGTTACCATCAATTTGATAAGCACTTGAGTTCTTTCTGGATCTGTTTTCACTTTTAGAGTTCTCCCTATCCTTGTTGGTTTAATTTTATTTTTTAAATACATAAAACATTGCACATGATGTGAAAGTCAAATCTGCACGAAGGGGTGTACCTGGGAGTCCTGTGTCTTCCCCACCCCCCAGCCCCGCAGGTAAACAGTGTCATTGGTTTCTCCTGAGACTTTGAAAAGGCATCCGACATGTACACCATCACCTGGGGAGGAAAGACCCCATTGGGGAAATTTGGGTGGAAAGTATTGAAATTTAAGTTTGATAGCTAGAAAGAAATCTCTGAGAAGAATCTATCCCCACATTTTCATGGAATTTTTCTCTTGCTTTTTTGTATTGCTTAAAAAAGCCTCGTCACCCTCCACCCTTTAGTTCCGTGGTCTCTGAGATGACAGTCTTGAACAGTGGCACTTTACCTTATGTGTGTTTTCCTCCAGGAAGCCGTGGCTGTGTGTCTGGAAGGAGTCCTGGCGGCCCAGTCAAGCCAGCTTCACTTCCCAGAGAGTGTGATCCTTCACACCCCTGCTCGGCAGACCTGGCCATCGTGCCTAGAAGTGACAGTCTCTCGTTACCGGGGGCCGGGGGGAACAGCTCCTCAAGCAGCCCAGCCTTCGAGGCCGACAACATCTGTGATGTGACGATCAGCGACCTGTACGCGGGCATGCTGCACTCGATGAGCCGGCTGCTGAGCACAAAGCCGTCGTGCATCATCTCCACCAAAACATCGTTCATCGCTCACAGCTGGAGCTCCAGAAGGAGGCACAAGTGTAAGAACAGAATGAACAGGACGCATTGCCGAGGAGGCGGGCCCTCTCGAAGGGGTTCCCAGGAGACACTCCCACCCTGTTCTGAGCCACTGAGGGACGGGGAAGTGTTAAGAGATTGCGAGAACTTACTAGATGCTTCTGACCAGAAGGTGGGTTTAAAATTGGAAAAAGCTTTCCCTGAAGTAAACAAACCCGAAATCTGCGAATTAGATCCAAGTTGGAAGGAGCTTAAGGGGTTGCGGAGTTTAATGCCCCGGAGGTGTTCTTCGTTGACATACGGAGGAGCCAGTGCAGTGCATCATCGTGGTCAGGAAAATAGACTTATGGCACTAAAATGGTTAATTTCTCCTGTGAAAATCATTTCCAGACCCAGAATACTGCCAGACAAGGGAGGGAATCGTTACAGGGAAATTGAAATCAAGTTTGATAAGCTTCATCAGGAATATTGCCCACGTCCCGGGAAGCAGCCCTGCCTGACTTGCCTCCCGGGACCCTCGGCTGTGGCCGTGTATGGGGGCGATCCCGCGAGCTTCGACTCCCGCGGGCTCAGCGGACCTTTCAGCAGAGCAGAAGCTAGGAGGTTCCATGAGGCTTTCGGAGACCTGGGTGAACGAGCTATTGGAGCAGCGAGATGCCCACCGAAGAGGGGTGCCCGTCCCTCGCTTTCAGAGACCAGCTCCGTGCAGGGCCCAGGCTGCTCGGAGCAGACACTTGACCTTCTTTTTCAAGCAAACGGTCTTGGGACACTTGGAAAGTCCGTATCACCCAGCAAAGCTGCTTCCGTAGCAGGCGGACAGCCTCTGCTCTGTGGAAGGAGTCGTTACAACGAGATAAAGGAAAAATTTGACAAGTTCTATCAACAGTATTGCCGACAGTCACCGCGGCGGATCCAGGCCCCTTTACGTAGCGGAACATCCCCAGAGAGAGCAAGTGTGCAAGTTCAGTGTCCCAAAGGAGGCACCCTGGAAAAATCAGACCCAGACGCTGGCTTCCAGGATCCCCCGAAGCTGTCAGCATCACCCCAGTGGAGCGTAGAAAGTCCTCTGGGCTCGACCACACTTGAGGCCCAACCGTCGATGTGCTTTGGGCTCGCTGCCGGGAGGGGCCTCCAGTCCCCTCCGAAGAGACGCCGATTATCAGATTCCCTGCTGTATGAACAGTGGGCCAACTCCCAGCATCCATCGCGTGTGCTGGGCCGAGCCATCGAGCAGCCAGCTCCCGACAGCCCCCCCGGGAAAAGAAGGTGTGTTCCTGTCGGTTGAATGTGGGTGTTTTACAGTAGGATTCTTCTGTGTCCGTTCTCCAAACTTCCTCCCAAATTCTTTCCCTTCCTCTGAAAGGAGCGTTTATATCCAGAACCTGGGCATGTGTAAGATGCATCAGGGTGGGGCTGAAAGTGTTCTTAGCGGGAAGATTTTACACCTTTCCCACTGCAATGCACTTAGGGGACTTTCCTAAAAAGCCTCACTAGGGTGCTCTGTCTGTCCTTGTCAAACTGTGTCCTTCCCAGCCAATCCCGGTCTCACTCAGAAAATAGCCGTCGTAAAGCAGAACTGATCTGCAAAGAGTGACTTTGCTTTTATTTCTGGATTCCCTAACGGGGCCAGCGGGGGCGGCCGGCTCGGGCCACACGCTGCTGCCCTGCGCACGATCTCTGTGCTCGGCACGGAGGTCCCACCTCGTCCCACAGTCTGGTTTGTGCGGACCACTCAACAAGCATGCGCCATTCTCCTGGGAGGCGAAATGCAAGAAGGTGGGGTGGAGCAAGTCACCGTGGGTTGTTCAGCGTCTTCCCATGAGCGCCAGGCTTTCCAGTGCCTGCCTCTGTCCCCAGGCCAGGATTCGGATGATGTGACTCTTCTGAGTGAGCGCACGTTTGGGGTTTTACGCGTTGGTGGTGTGGGCAGGTGAGGCCGCGTCGACAACTTCTCCTCCCTCCTGGCCCCCAGCAGATGGGAGGCCCCCCTCGGCGGCCGTTCAGATGGACCCCATCTGCCCTAAACGTCCCGTGTTCTCTTTCCCCCGCTATGATCCCTCCCAGGGACAGGTGCGTTCCTCTCAGAGATGAGCCCCGAGTTGTCACTGTCGCCACCCCTGAGTGACCCCACTGGTCCTTCCCTGCCTTGGCCTCCTCACGCTTCTCAGCGTTCAGACCCCCATGGCTCCCCTCTCAGAGAGTATTTCCGAAAACCTTAGCGTGCTTTGGCTGCAGCTGGGGCTGGGTGCTCATCCTTCCTACAAGAGCGCAACGCGTGGTGGCCGGCGCTCGCTCCTCCAGGCCGGAATCGTGGGCTGGTCTTTTTTCCTTCTGCTTCCACATCCTTCGGCTGCTCCCGTTTCCTCAGCCTGCCGTCTAGCTGTGCCACACCAAAGCTGCTCTCTCCAGCAGCGCCTCCCGATGGCCATGTCCCGTGGCCTTAACCACACCATCGCCTTTGTCAGATAAGCAGACCTGTGTTGTGATTGGTCTTTCTGGTCAAGGAATGAAGTCAGGGACCTTAGGTGAGGCCCGACGTGGAGCTGGAGCAAAAAGGGAGGGGTCCGCCTGGCCCAGCCAGACCAGGAGAGAGGCCCGCACCCCAGAAGGCCCCGCCATGGGCAGGGCCCTACTGGGTTGGTGGCTCTTTCCCTCACAGCACGGGGCTTTCCCTTTTGTCTGGGCCTGGGGCTCTTTGCCTGCGCCCGTCTCAGACCAGACCACCAGCAGGGTAAGTCGGAGCCACGTGCTGAGTCCTGTGGGGTCGAGGCTTTCAGGGATCACGGCAGGCACTCCAGGGAGACTTGAGAGCAAAGCTCCCATGTGACCTCTCAGGATGACCTTCCTTCTCAGTTGAGAGGGGTTGTCGCCGAAGGCAGCTCCTCAAGTGAGAGCCAGCCCCGCTGGCCTAAGCCTGCACCTGCTCACGCGGCATTCCTCCTGACCTGTCCTCTGCATCGTCCTGTCCCTCAGGCTCACCTCTGTGGCTTTGCCCACCTCGTCCCCAGATTTGCTGGCATGTCAAGCCCTGCTGACCCGACCCCTGGAGCTCGGCGGAGTCACTCCCCCGCCCTCTTCTGCCTCAGCTGCGCCCGACCCACCCCTCCCACCTTAGGAGATCTACCTTCTCAATGCCTGGCAGTCTCCTCTCGTTCACCTGCCCAGCGAGGGCGCGTGGAGCAGGGTCGGCCTGCCAAGGTCACAGCCGTGAGCCATGCCTTGTGCTGGGCGGTGGAGCACCTGGGGGAGAATTCAGCCCTCTGTGGGGCCCTCCTGGCTCCCCTGGAATCTGATAAGTCATGGTGGCTGCCCCCTGGAGGGTTTTGTCTTAAAACTGTGATATAAACATACTCAACCATTTTCCACATTTTTCTTCTTTTTCTACTTAAACTATAAATGTCTTGAGGAAAGAGCCCAAATCTTCATGAGCTGTGACTACAGAAAGAATGTTAATGGCTGACGTTTGAGTCCCTTTCTGGGTGCCAGGCCGTGTAGAACCTTCTCACCCCCTCCCTCCTTAATCCCCACACGAACCCTTGATGAGATAGGTCTCATCCAACAGGCGGGTTCTGTCTCTCATTTTATAAATAAAGGAATGTAGCTGAAGCCTCATGGCTCCTGAGTCCACCCAGGCATGGGAGGCCAGGCCAGGAGCCGAAGCCTGGGGGCGTAACCACCAGGCGGCGGTTACCCTCGGGTGGGTTTTTACATCCTTGACACTGTTTATTAAGCATGGCGGCGTGTTCTATAGAGGCCCACAAATGCTTATGTATATGCCGTGGGACAAATACGAAACAGTTAAGCTTTCAGTGGCTCGGGAATCCTAGTGGAATTTTACTGAAATTATTTTCCTTGTCTTTTTTTTTTTCTAAAGGAAAGAACACATCTTTCGAGATGGAAGAGAAAAGTGACTTTGTACTTAGAAAAATTGAACGCTGAAGATGTATAACCAAGTTATTTTTAAGAGTTTGTCCCTCTTCCCCCTTACTGTGTGTGTATGTTTAATCCTCAAGAATATGTGAGAACTGGCTTCACTTATCTGCCCTTCAAAGCAAATTTCAGTGAAACTGGTCCCATTGAAATGACTCTGAGTTCTTGGTATAGAAATTATTTGAATAAAGTTGCTCAACTAAAATTTTTCATGTGATCTTTTATAGGTCTATTTTCCCCATGTGTTCTTTTTAAAATCTAGACACATCCTCAGAAAGCTCTCCATTCCCAGTCGTTAGAGAACCGTGTTTGCTCTAAAACCCGTGTAAGCCCCAGATACGATGGTTTAAGGTTTGAATTCAGAAGCAGGGACTTGGTCTCTTCCATATTAGCAGTAGAAAATTGAAACGTTAACTCACCCCTGAAAAGTAATTCCTAACATCTTAATGTTTTTGGCTAAAAACGTGCTGTATTCAGACAGTCCTGGGATGGTCCCAAACCTTGCAGCCACACGGCGTCCCTGACGAAGCACTTGCTCACACCCCCACCTGCCCCCCCCACACCTCCCGCCTCCTACCCAGCAGGCTTATGCTACTGTTCTCTGGCCCAGCCAGGCCTCACTGCTGGGATATCAGGGGTTTGGGTGTCATCTAGTGGAAGAAGGCAAGGTAGAAGAGCTCAGGCATGGGTCTTGGGTAATTTATAGGATCTGCCAATAAAGGACGCCATAGACTGTAGGTGGGATGGTCTGTATTTTTAACATGCAGAGTTTAGTACTGCACGTATTCTGCAGCTTGGCTTCACCACGAGGTGTTTGCACTGGACAGGAGCTGATGGGTGTGGGTGTCTTGTTTTTCAAGGGTCTAGGTAGCTGGTCTCCACGGTCCTGCTGGGGTGTCTGCCTCTAAGGACGTGTGCAGCCACGATCCTTGAGTGCGTACGTGGGCTCACCTGTGGCGTACATCTGGAGGTGAGCTGGCCGTGGAGAGGTGTGTCTTCAACTTCTCTAATTATTGCCGAACCGCCTTCCCAAATGGCTATTCCAGTTAGCTCTCTGTCCAGTGATAGAAGAGATCCCCTTTCCCACATTACTGCCACCAGTGGGTACCACTCCAGGGGGTGCGGGGTGTTGGGGGGAGGTGTGAAACGTATTGCGGCTTGTGTTTCTGGGGTACCGGCCTTTCAAGTGTCCTCTCAGGACTCTCTCTTTCATTGGCCTTGTTTCTTACCGATCTGGGTATATCCTGGATGCCGATTCAATTATACAAACCAATCTAGTTTTGTATAAATTGCAAGTAACTTCTTCCATCTGTGACGTGTCCTTTAACTTTATGGCATCTTATTGTAAAGAAGTTACATTTTAACCGAGTCGGATAGCTTAACCCTTTTATTTTTTCTGGCATCTGCTGTTAACTTTTTGGAGAAAACCTAGTCTCAGGATTAAAAATACTCTATTGTCTTGCATCTTTGCTTTTCAAATTTAGGTCTAGGAACCATCTGGAGATGTTCTGCTCGGGCACGAAGGGGATAACGCCTGGTTGTACGCCCCGTAGCTCTTTCCTCCGCCACCCCCACCCCCCGCACCCTGGCCGCCGCCCTCCTTACTCGGATGCCTATCACAGTCCCTGGCAGCGCAAGGGTGGGGTTCTGGGGGGCCGAGGCTGGACAGCGCCTGCCTCCCCTCACTGTCTGGCACAATGCCCGGCAGCGGACTGCACCAAGGTGGATTCAGACCCTCTGGGCCGAGGGGGCTGCCGGACACTCGCACACTCCGGGGAAGCGTTGGGACCAAATTCTCCCTCTGCCCCGCTGTCTTGGCTCTGGCATGTTGTCACCTCACAGTCAGCAATCTGCGCTCCCAATGGCAATGGAGGTTTATTTCAAGGGGAGGAAAGAAAGGGACGCTGATTATTTTAGAATGATGCTTTTCTTAACAAACTAAATTAAAAATGTTTTGCCTTGCTGCAGTCCGGCTGTGGTTTGGCACTCCGAGGAGGCAATTTACACTTCACATTCGAACCGTCTAGCAAAATCCTCCGGGGGAAGCCAAAAGCGGGTGCTGGCTACACGTATCCAAGATTCTGAGAGTCCCCAGGGCTGCCTTGCGGACCCCAGGGTCCGAGTCGAGCTGCAGCTCCTGGAGAGCTGAGAGTGAGCACAGACAGGAGAGAATCAGGACCTGGCGCAGCCGGGCCCTCCGCCCTGGGCGGCTCAGCTGGTGGGAGGCCTTCCCCGCCTCTGCCCCAGCCACCTGTGCAGCGCGGGGCTCATGTGGGCTGCAGAGGGGAACCCCGTGTTTGCAGGCAGAGGACGGCAGGTGGGGCTGTGTCTGCACACACGTCCCCCCATCTGAGCTTCCGCTACGTCTCTACCAGGGACAGAAAGATCATCCACAGAACCCGAGCGCCGTGTGGATCAGTGGAAGGATTCAGGGTGGAAACATTTCGTAAATATTTATGATGGGGAGGTGGGCAGGAGGCCCCGGGGAACGAAAGGACTCCACGCCCAAATAGTTGTCTTCCTGGAAAGCCCTCTGCAGGCTCATGCATCCCTCCGCGCCCCGATTACACAAGGAAGGGTCGGCTGGCTCTTCCCCGGGCGGTTTCTCTAAGATCCCCAAATGGGGTTAGTGGGCTCAGTATGATTGAGCCTCTACTACTTACAATTCCTTAATGTCAGAAAGTCCAGTTTTCTCAGATGATGTGCAGACATCTGCTTCATAATAATTCCTAAAACGAGAGCCAGCGAAATGCTCATCACACAAATATTATGTCAGTGAGAGAGTCTGTTTTACCTTTTGAGATAACTGTTTAGGACTCCGCTGAAGATGCCTAATTGAGAATCAGGCAGGTATGAAGCAAAGTGGGGTAGGACGCAGAGAAGGGGACTTCCACTGAGTCTGGCCCTACCCTGCTGCCTGTCCCCCTCCCACTCCAGGTGCGGGGCTGGCCCTCAATGTCCCTCCCGCATCAGCAGACATCCTCTCACTCACCTGCCAGGTCACAGGCAGCAGTTCTGATCCTTGGCAAGTTACTACTGACGTAGGTCATTGTTTCTAGCAAGAAGCTGTAGAGCACGGCAGGTTTCTTCTGAGTCTGCAAAAGACACAGGATGAACAGAGCCATGGAGGATGAGGTCCTAGAGATCGGCTACTCACAGAGTGTGTTCCCATCTGTCTGATGTGGGAGGGTCTGCCCAGAAAGGGCAAGCGCTCATCCCAGCACCACACAGCAAATTAGTAGCTAGACAACTCAAGGAACTTCAGACCCCTGCTACATTCCATCTGACCAGAGAAGAGATGATATTGTCTGCAAACGGCGTGGCTATCCAATACCGTGGCCACTGGCCATATGTGGCCCTTGAGCACTTGAAATGTGACCAGTCTGAACTAGGTATGAAGAGCCTCCTGCATTTTGATGACAGAAACTCAAAAATGTAAAATATCACACTGATAATTTGTACATTGATTACATGTTGAAATGACAATGGTTTGGATCCATCGGGTTGAGTCAAATCTATTATTCAATTTGGTTTCACCTCTCTCACTTTTCTTAACGTAGCTACCAGAAAACGTATGGGTATGTGGCTTGCATTGTGGCTCTGTTGGAAGGTGCTGGTCTTGACGCTTCACGTCCAGAAGGTGAGCACAGGGTCGGAAGTCTACGGCAGCTGCGACCCTAAACCCCAAGCCCCAGAGCGGCCAACCTCCAACAGGCCCGTGGCCCTCAGCTTCCTCACCAGGATGGAGCACAGCGTTGTCTGGAACACGGTCATCTCATCAGCCGCACTGCTGTCCCTTCGGCCCGAGCTGCTCTCCAGGGCCTTCCAGCCCCAGAAGTGCACACACTGAAACATGGTGGCCATGCAAGCCTGGAGGGACACCGGGCCAAGGATGGAGGGAGGGCGTCAGGCAGACCAAGGGGGCTCACATGGCGGGCTGACGTTCCACCGATAGGCCAGAGGGCAGCCCCGGAAAAGCCTCAGGAAGCCACAGAAGGGTACCTGGGACCGGAGCCCTGCCAGCCTATATAGTGGCTGTGTGTGCATTTACGAAAAACCCCTTAGAGGCAGATGCAGCCCACTTGCCCCCTCTGCCAGCACCTCGGTGCCCTCAGCAGCCCTGCCTGGGTCCCGCCCCTCCAGGACGTTGGCGTCAGGAGCCTGGCGGGGACCGGTAGCACCAGGGTGAGCTTTCTCATCCCCAGACCCTCTCCGAGCACTGCAGCAATCAGGCCCCCTGGCCTCTGGCCTCCAGCCCCCAGCGGGGTTCGGCCACAGGAGGCTACGACAGGAGACGGGGCGGGGGGGGGCGCGGAGAGAGGCTGGCTGGCTATTCCCCGGGGACAGGAGTGGCAGCAGTGTGGCTAGGACCGGCCCTGGGGCTTGCCTCCCACGTGGTCCCCCTGCCCCGGCCCCTCTTGGCTGTTTCTTCGTTAAACACTCTCGGTCACCCTCCTGGGTCTTCCTTCCCTGAAGCCCACCCCACGGGACAGCTGCTGAGACAACGTGAAAGAACAGTGTGAGCCAGTGATGGATTTGTGAGGAAAGCGTCTCTGAGAGGTGACAATTCATGGCCTGGGTCATCAGTGTCCCCGAGGCAGAGCAGGAGTCGGGAGGGATGCCCTTACCAACCTACACGTGCCACCACCCCACCCCGCCCCGCGTGGACCCCCGCAGGATTCTTGGGACCCCAGAACCGGAGACCAAGGCGCTAGTTGAGCATGAGCTGCTGAGTACCCCGCAGCTCACTGGGAGGCGGCAGAACAGCCCCTAATCTCAGCCCCCTCCCCGTGTCCCTCCCCAGTCCACATAGGAAGACAGACATCAGGGTCAGGGGCCTGCACGGGGTGAGGGGCAGCCATCAGACAGGTGGGAGCTGGGGGAGGAGCTCAAACAGCAGAGGAGCTGGGCCTCCGTTGGGAGGAGAACCGCGGTGTGCAGGGCCAGGCCGGGCACCCCTCCCTCGCCACCCCCAGCAGCCCCAGCACTGGCCTGCCCCCCGGGGAGCCGCTGAGGAGGGATTTAAGGTGAGTTTTAAGCGTCACCAAGTCATCACACCCAAGAGTGATGGCAAGCTATAGAATCCAGTGGAAGAGAAGGGCGATGGGGCAGAGGATGCCTGCAGGCAGCCACCAGAGAAGAAAGCTACGCCATGTGCCCCCACAGAGCGGTTTGCGGGTCGTCTGAACGGCCCCCTCCCCAGCC